GCGGCGCCGCAGCCCCGCGCTCCGGGCGGGCGGGGAGGGGCGGCGGCGGCGCGGCGCGGAGGCTGCAGACAAAAGGAGCCGCGCTTTCCCGGGGCAGGCCACCTCTGCCCCGCCGACTCGGTTTCCCTCTGTCCCCAAAAACCGGAGGGGGGCGCGCGGCCCGGTGCCCGGTAACTCCCAGCTGCCAGAAGGACCCGCCCTCCTGGAAGAATGCAGAGGTGAGGCCCACTTCCCGCGGTCTCTCTTCTCTGCCTCTGCTGCCCCACCCGCCCATCCCTGCGCCCTGGGTGGGTGCCTAGCGGGCCCGAGCGCTCTGGAGGTGTTTGGTGTTTCCTACGTGAGCATCCAGTTGTTAGTTACATTCATCCGGGAGGAAATGGTTGAACCCAGAGAGGTTGAACTACTTACCGTAGGCCACACAGCTTGTGAGAGGCAGGGCTAGGACTGATACCCAGACCAGACCAGGGTGCACCTCAACTACTCTATCCTCCTAACCTGTGTGCTGCCTCTCCAGGCTTTGGACCACACAGCTGTCCCTAACAGCGCTTCTGGAGTCAGGTCGCTGCTGGGGAAGGACTTGCTGACCCCAGCCCCTCCTGGGGGCCCAGCAGGATCTGGCCTGCCTCCTCTCCCCGCTCTGCCTTGTTGTTCAGTAGGCCAGGCCCCTGTGGCACCAGAGAGAGTAGCACACCAGAGCTGGAACCTTAGGTGGAGGGCCTTGCCCCAGGGCAGCAAGAGGCCCCTTTGGGGGAGCAGTGAGCAAGAAGACCCAGGGCCTCTCTCCTCTCCTCCTCTTTCTCCAGGTGACCCGACTCCCCAGGTGATTTCCAACAGCTGCCTCAGCAGGCCCATCTGGGAAATACGCATGGAAGGAGCAGCGGGGATTCCAGCCCATTCTCTAGGGAGAAGCCTCAACAGGCTTCAGCTTCTCCTGTCTCTCCTCATCCCTGTCCCTAGAGCATCCCAGTTCCCTCCTGCCTCCTTCTGCCTGGGGCACTCCTCACTCCTACCTCCTCCCCCAGCCACTTCCTCAGACCCACTCCTGTCCTTCCAGATTCCCTGGAAGGGCATGGCACCTCCTGCAGGAAGCCTTCCCTGACCACCTTCCCTCACCTTGACTACCTCACCCCTCTGCTCCTGGAGCATTCTGTACAGATACAAACCGAGGAGACACCCTACAGATGGGAATAAGGCTGTGGGGAGGGTCAAATGGGTTAATCTATGTAAATGTCAGTCTCCAGGTAGTAGGTGCTAGCTATTGTGATTATCCTTGTGTCTCCTTCTCCTGCTACTTATCAAGAGAGCACTTGGGAATGGCTATGAAAGGTCCCTGAGGGCGGGGACTGTGTCATTTCTCCATTTTCTAGCTCCCAGCTCCTAGCACCATGCCTAACACACAATTAAGGTCTGCATAGGAATAAACTAAGGAAGGAATGGGCAATTGTGGTGTGGTAGGCTGGAAAATACCCACAGCAGGTAGTCATGTCCTCATCCCCAGGAACTATAAATGGTCCCCCTACTGGAAAAAGAGTCTTTGCAGACAAGATTAAGTTAAGGATCTGGAGATAGGGAGATTATCCTGGGTTATCGAGCTGGGTTCTAAACACAGTCACACCTCCTATAAGAAAGAGGCCGGGGCACCTGGATGGCTCAGTTGCTTGGGCATGTGACTCCTGATTTTGGCTCAGGTTGTGTGCTCTTTCTCTCTCTCAAGTGAATAAATTTTAAAAATCTTAAAAAAAAAAAAAAAAGAGGCAGAGGGAGATGTGACACAAACAGTAGAGAAGGCAACGTGATCACACGGACCAGAGATCAGTGATGCAGTCGTAAGCCAAAGAATATGGCAGCCACCAGAAGCTGAAGAGGGAAGGCAAAGAATCTTCCCTAGAGCCTTCAGAGCGAATGCGGCCCTTGATTTTCAGACTTCTGGCCACGGGAACAGTCACAGAATACATTTCTGTTGTTTTAAGCCCCCTGGCGTGTGGCAGTGTGTCACCATAGTGGGGGAATCCCACACAGCTGGGCTGAAATCCAAGTTCTGCTCTCTTCGCCCCCTAATTCTGCATGACTTCACTTCACGGAGCCTCGGTGTTCCTGTCTGTAGAGTGGGGACAGGAGTTCCTACCTCGCAGAGGTCTTGCAGGTTTGTAATGAGAAAACGCATGTGGCCGCTGTTTGGGGTCCACTGTGGAGAGGTCTAGAACCAGTCAGAAAGGGGGAGGCATTTCTGATTTTCCGGTAAGGGCCTTGACTTCTTCATCCATGATGTGTGGAAATAGGGCAGGATCCGGTTTCTTCTTGCTCTCAACCTGCTGTTGTTTTTTGGTTTTTTTTTGTTTTTGTTTTTTAACCATGAATAATTAGCGCTCTGGAAAGGAGGAAGGTGGTGTGAACTCACTTGTTTTTTTCACCTGGCCTAAAATATGCTTGGTCAGTAGAGACACCTGCTGAAGCAGCCGGCACTGGCTGGGGGGTGCCAAGGGCAGGGGCGGGAGGCGCCCAGGCGAGCAGGGCATCTACAGAACTTGTCCTCCCTTGTCTGGAGGGGTGCCCAGGAAGCTGGTGTTCTCCCTCACTGTGGGGTGCCCACGAAGAACCTTCCCCGACCCTCGCAAGGGAGCAGGCCCAACCTATTGCTAACCTTCCTTCCAAGATCCTAAGAAGAGCGCCCAAACCTTACTTATTCTTCCCAAGTGCGTTCCAAATCCTGTCACCTGCGGCGGAAATGGCTCCTAACAGTGGCTTCCGGCCGGGGGACACCAGGTCCGAATTCCTCTGGGGTCGGGAGGCGGCTTCCAGCAGCAGGTCTCACCTACCGGAAGTCCGCTCCCCGCGGATCCGCACATTGCCCCGGTTCCAGCGCTCTCTGCTGCCCTCTACTGCAGGAGAGAAGAACTCCCAAGTCCGCCGCGGGAATCCGCAAACACCCTTCCTTGAACGTTGGACCCCAGCTGGGCCCTCTGTTCTGGAGGGCAGTAAGGCCCTCTACCATACTGTCGGTCCATTTCTGGAGCATGAGCCTCGACTGCAAGACACTGACGCAACACAGAGTCGATCGATGAAATGCCTGGCTCGTCTTAAGCATACCGTTCCCTCTGCCTGGAATGTCCTTCCTCTTCTCTCCGCAGCCGTCCCACAGAGGCCACCTCCTCCAAGAAGTCTTCCCTGGGTGAGCTGCCCTCACCGCTCTGTTGTTACAGAACTCCATGCAGTCTCCCTTGGAGTGTTTTCATGATGCTCCGTGATGCCCCGCCCATGTGCTGACCTTCCCCTGGCCAGGGCGCCAGGCCCTCCACGTCTCTGCTCTTCGGGACATTAAGGACAAAGGTATCATACCAAGACCAAGAAGGGAGAGCTGACGCCAACGTCAGGGCCACACCCTCATCCGCGGACTCTGGTGTGATTGTGTGCACGTTCACTCGTGTGTCTGATGTGAGCGTGGGCACACACTTACATGTATGTACTGTTAAAATACAGGTACACAGCCCTGGTGACCTCGCTGGACGGGGGTACCTTTGGATCTCCTTTCTTCTTTTGGGAAGACCCTTCCTCCGGCCTCTGAAGCAACACCAGCTAGCCCTTCCTGAGGCCTACTTCCTGCCAGGCGCTGGCAAGAACCAAGGGCTCTCTCTGAACCAGCTCTGCTTTCTCCAGTGGCTCCCGGAGGGCGCTTTGTTATTAACTCTATCTTCAGGTGAGGGAAATGAGGGGGGGTTGGGGAGGTAGGGGGCTGGGGGGTGGGGTTTGAGGTAAACTGCTCAAGGTCACAGAGCTGGTACCCGTGGGAGCAGGGCTTGACTCTAAGCAGTGAGGCCTGCTTCCTCTCCTTTACTTTTACCCCCTGATAGCACCCAAGTCTCTCTGTCTTCATCGAGCGGAACCCTCCCTCCTCCCCCACCCCCAGCCCCCACAAGGTGTGCTCAGAGCCTCCAAGTGTCTTGGCTGGGGAGTCAGACCGAGAGCGAATGTATCCCAGGGGCCTTGTTTGTCCTGCAGGTCTCAGAACACACAGAACTGCCAGGCCCGATATCACAGCCTGGTGCTGTGACGGGTGCTGACACCCGTGGATGCCACCTGCTGACATCCTCTTACTCGCAGCATGTGGGCAAATACTCCACACTTTTGGGAGTCTGGCAGGCCCATCTTGGACTCCTGCTGCTTTTCATGGGAGGTATGTGACAGGAAGGCCCCGGGTACAGGTTTCTGGGGCAACTGGGTGACTCAGATCATCTCCCAGGGTCCTGGGTTTGAGTCCTACAGCAGGCGCCCTGCTCTGTGGGGAGTCTGCTTCTCCTTCTGCTCTTTCCCCAGACCCCCTCATGTTCTCTCTCTCAAATAAATAAAAAATCTTAAAAAAAAAAAAAAGGTACGGTGTTTCAGACTCAGAGGGCTTGGGGTCTACATCCTGTCTTGGCCACTTATAAGCCATGTGACCTTGGTCAAGTGACTTAACCTCAGTGTTCTTATCTCTAAAATGGGCTTCACCCACTGAGCCACTCAGGTGCCCCCTTATCTCTAAAATGGGGATAATCCTGTCTACCTCAC